TTTCATTTGCAATATCTGTAAACCTTGAAATCTCAATTTGTGTCAAATAAGCTCCTTCAGGTACAGTCCTGGGTTCCAGGGCTGCATGTCACATGTTGTTCCATTTAAGAAAATTACATACGCAGCCACTGCAGCGTTATTCCAGCTTCTAATCAAATTGCCAATCTGCAGAGCGCCGGGCCTCTGTCCCCCGGGGGCAGGCTGTTCACGTTGACGGGCGCACTTGGCCCCCAGAATGAAGTCAGGATGTAAACACAGCCGTAGAGCAGGGGGTCGGCCCTCAGCCCCACAGGATGGGAGCTCCTCAGCTCTTTAAGGGGCTCAGCTATTTCTTCCCACTACAGGCCAGGTTTGCTTTCCTGCCTCTAGAAGCAACGAGTGTGGGCCCGTGTGCAATGGCTGGTAGGGAGCAGCCCTGTGGGGACGCGAGTGCCCATCAGCGTGGGGGTGCACCCAAGCACAGAGGCTGCTGACCTGCCCATGTGGACTTCTGCATGCATGTGCTTGAGTGCAAGTGTGTGTTGACGCATCTGTACATGTGTGAGTATATGTGTTTGTGTGGCATGTATGTGTCTTTGTGGGTGTATGTGTGCATATGTTAGCTATGTGCAGGCATGTGTGTGTTATGTTGTATGAAAACGCGTGTGGTGTGTGTCAGTGTGGGGCTCATGGGGGACAGGGTGGGGCGACCCTGCAGGTTTCTGGGTTCACTGGGAGGATTGATGCTGAGGCTGAAGCGACGGTGCTCTGGCCAGCTGATGAGGAGAGCTGACTCATTGGAACGACCCTGCTGCTGGGAGAGATCAAAGGCTGGAGGAGAAGGGGATAACAGAGGACCAGATGGCTGGATGGCATCACCGATGCGATGGACATGAGTGTGAGTAAACTCTGGGAGTTGGTAATGGACAGGGAGGCCTGGCGTGCTGCAGTCCATGGGGTCGCAGAGAGTCAGACACGACTGAGCAACTGAACTGATTGAACTCCCAGCTATGAAGACCTGCTCAGCCGGGAGTAGCGGATCCTGTCTGTGCTGTGAGGGGTCTTCCCTGGCAGTCCAGTGGTTAAGACTCCATGCTTCTAATGCAGCAGGCATGGATTCGATTCCTGATGGGGGAGCTAAGATCTCACATGTCACAGGGCATGGCCAAAAAAATTAAACAGCGTGGAAAGAATTAAAAAAACGACAGACACTATTTGTGTTGTGAGATGACGCAGTAGGGGCATGTGGTTTGGTGATGCGGGTGCTGGGAGGTGAAGAGGGTCAGGACTGTGAGTGCGGCCTGTGCTGGGGGATAGGGACCTTCAGAGGAGCCCGGCAAGACCCGTTGACCGACGCCCAGGGTGAGGGGTCAGGGGCTGGGTTCCTGACCCGGGTGGCCTGGGGAGCCCCCTGGGGTTTAGAGCTTCTTGCTCCCCGTCTTCCATCCCGACCAGCCCAGCCCAGCCCACCGGGTCTTGCCTGTGCCTCCAGGTCGTGGCTGGGCCCTGTGGTCAGCGTCCGGCCTGGGCGGGAGGAGGGTGTCCCGATGTCCCAGGAGCCTTCCACGTGCTGCGGGGGTCCAGCTGAGCAGCCGTGTGGTAGATCACTTTCAGACCGACTTTCCGATGGGAGGCTGACTTTCCTTCCTGGAACAAACCCTGCGTGGTCGTGGTGTGTTTGCCTGTGTTGCTAGGTCTGGCTTCTAGTGCTTCGTTTTGGAGTTTCCATTTAGGTAAGAATTCCATGAGTAAGAATGGCCTGTAATTTAATTTTTGAAAATAATGTCTTAGTCATATTTAAGTTTCAAGGGTACGCCACCTTCAGATGAGTGGGAAGATTTCCACCCTTTTGTATCCTCTGGAGGAGTTTGTAGAAGACTCATATTATCCCTTCCTTAAATATTTTGTGGAATTCATGGGTGAATGGGGGCTGCTGGAAAGTTTTCTTTGAGGAAGGGGTTCAACGTGTTTCATGATGTAGAACTATCTGCGTTCTCTTCTCCACCTCACGTCAGCTTTGCGGAGTTATCTAGGACACATTCCACTGCATGTCAGCTTCCTAGTCCATTGGCATGGAACCGTTTTGCAGCCCTGGTTCTTGGCCCACGGGGTGCTGGACACATCACACTTCTCCCCAGGCCCCTGGACGCTAGTCGCTCACCAGCTGCATCTGTTTTGATTCTTTTGGTGGCAGCTGCCAGCTCCCAGGTGGGCTCCTGGAGACCCCCCCGCAAGGGCCAGCTGGGCAGCTCTGGGAGGCCCCTGCCCCCTGGTGCCTCTGAGGAGAAGGCCCTGTGTCCTGCCCACCCCAGACTCTCCTGGATAGCTGCCGTGGAGGCTCAGGGCACTCAGGGTGGACCAAGACTCCGTCTGGGCCGAGCTCGGGCCTGGGTTCTGGGGGCCTAGAAGTGGACACCCAGGTGGGCCCTGCCTGTGGGGAGACGGGGGACGAGAAGCACATTCTTGGCACTTGCTCAGTGAGAAGTGACCTCAGGAGAGGCCAGCCCGCCAGGTGATGGACGGAGGCTGGTGTCCTCAGGGCAGGAGGGCGGGCGAGCCCTCTGACCCGGCCCGTGCCCTCTGACCTGGCCCGCACCACACTCCCGTGTCCAGTGGACCATCCAGGTGCCCCGACCTCTGCCCCGAGAGGTGATTCTAGTGTGAGAGGAACGCTTGGCCTTCAAAGAGAAAGATCGTGAAACTAGAGAAAAGACTGTTGTAAACACAAAAGAGAAAACCCACATATTGGAGCAACAATAGCAAAGATCACATCTAAAAACACAAGTAGCTCTAATGAGTTGCCGAAAAATAGCCAAGACCCCAGTAGGACAGCGGGCAAAGGCCTCAAGACCCTCTACGGGGAGGGAAATCTTGACCAAGATAAGCCCCCAAGGGAGCTGCCCATCCCAGAAAAGTGGGCTTTGGGTCCCAGGGCCCCAGAGCGGGTCACCGGGAGAAGGTGTGTCAGCTTCACTTTGTGTCCTCAGGGCTTCTAGCCCTATCCTCTCCGCCACTTCTGACTTAGTTTCATAGTTGAGACTGTTTTCCCCGAGTTCTCGGTATTTCATGTAAGATTCATCAGATTTATTCTTTAGAAGTCATTTATCTTTGGGCCTGATGCTTGAAGTTTAGCTAAAAGTAGGTTTGTTAAGCAGGTCCTAAAACATCCAGAGGCCACGCTGGTTAGAGGTCTGCCCTTCTTAATAGGATTTGTCCCTTGAGCAGAGCCGGATTTCAGGTGCTTAGGAACATGTGCTCATTCACACCTGCCCACTGAGGGCCCTGGGTCCTGGGCGGAGCCACGTTGGGGACCCAGCAGGCTCCTGGGCATCTTGGCCTGGGGCTGTGGCTGGTGGGGGGGGTGGTTCTCTAGCGTATTGCTCAACAGCTCCCAGATGAGGGGAAGTCTTGCATCTTGTAAGATGCAAGTGACCGGACAAGTGACTGGAAAAGTGACTGGATCGACACAAGTGACTTTTTCTTGGCCTCAATTAAAAATATGTAAAGATATAATATACAAGTGATGTGTGCTTATGTAACAGAATTTGAAAAACACTTAAAAATAGAAAGGATTCAAAAAGTTATTTATAGATCCATCCGCAAAAGATAGCTTCTGTTATAATTTGGTCTGTTTCATCCTGATATTTTCTTCTACGAACATTTTAAAAAACATAGACCTAATTATGTTCTGAAGGCATTGTGCAATTTTTAACATTTTGTCATTAGCCTGGCTGTGCTATTTTACCTTCTACAGGACATTTAGTGTGTATGTGGTTGAATGGATGGATATGTAATTATTTATCTGTTTCCTTATTGCTGGTATTGAGGTTATTTCTGAGTTTTTATTTCATAAACGATACTGCAGTTGTTATCTTTGAGCCCAAGTTTGTCTGCCTGTAGTTTGAGGCATTTACTTTAAAAATGGATTGACGGAATTCCTCCGTAGTCCAGTGGTTAGGATTCTGTGCTTCCACTGCTGGGGTCTGGGGTTCGATCCCTGGTCTGGGAACTAAGATCCCACAAGCCTCTTGGTGCGGCCAAAATAAAAGTGGATTAAGGGGCACACACGTGTTTGACTAATGCGTCATCCCCCCTGGCACCACCCCAGCAGCTCCGAGCGCCTGCCCCCTGGGACACACCGCCTGCTCCTCGGTCTCCGGGGTGGGTGGGGCGGCTGGGCTCCCCCCTCCCCAGCCCCCAGGGCCTTTCGCTTGCTGTCTCTGAGCCGAGAACAAGCTTTCTGCCTCCAGGTCCGACCTTCCTATCTTCTGTTTGCTCTTATTTCCCCTGGAGCGTCCTCATGGTCGCGGGCCACCTGCCTCTGAAGGCCTGGAGAGGGTGCCGCGGTGAGGATCCCTGAGGCTGCTGCTCACCAGGAGCCCCCGCCAGAGGGGCAGGGAGCAGGGAACCCCCTTTCCTGAAATTTCCAGCTCCGCCCCCCACCCACCGGAGCATCCTCTGTCAAATCAGCAACTTGGAATCTGCTTGTTGCTTGAAATTAGGGCACAGTGTTCTTAGATTCACTTGAAAAAACTGAGAATACGACCATGGGGGAAATACAGCCAAGGGGGAAACATCTCGGCCAGGTGTGAACACCACAGCAAAGGATGGAAGGAGCGCAGCCTCGTCGGGGGAGGCGTAGGCGCCCCGACGGCTCCACAGCCTCCGCCGGCCCTGCAGAAGCCTGCGCTTCACCTGGGCCTGTCATCCGGGGAAAGAAGCCTCTCGCTCTCCCTTTCCTCAAAGGCCCTCTCCCCGCCGCTGGCGGGCGGCCCTGTGCCCCGAGGGCTCCGACCCCCAACCTGAGGCTTGACTGCGGGCTCTGGGCAGAGCCGCCCACTTGCGGGGTCCTGGGGGCCGCACACCGCCCCTGCGCCGGGACGGAGGGTGGGCGGCCCCTCCTGCTCCCAGTAGCCGCCCTGGCGCCTGGCCGGCCTCGGGGGGCAGGCGGCGGCTGCAGGCTCAAGGGGGGCCGTTGACCCCGGAGGGGACGCAGGCCCACGGCGAGGGTGGGCGCGGGGTCAGGGGCTTCGTGGGAGGACCTGCTCTCTCTGCGGCCCTCCCCCGCCCGCCCCAGAGCCGGAGCGGACGGAGGCCCGCGGGCCGGGAGCGGGCCATTCCTGCTGACTGCTCCCCCTCGAACCCCCTCCAGCCTCAGGAGCCGCCGGCGACTGGCGGCGCGGTGGGCACAGGCCGTGAAGACCGGGACAGAGGAGCTGCCCGGAGCCGTGGCCGGGTCCGTGGCGGGGCGAGCGGGGGCTCAGGGCGCTCCCTGGCGGCCACGCCACCTCCCAGGACTCGGGCCAGTGGCCAGTCTCCCGGGGCCGACCGGGACCCTGGGCTTTTCCTCCAGCCCCGGCGGGGCGGCGCCCTCCAGGTGGGGGCTGGGCCCTCCCCAGGACCACCCGTGACCCCGCGGCCCGTCTGGCCGCTCCGGGAAGGGTGGCCCGCTGGGCCTGTCTGTCGCCCTGCGGCGGGGGCGTCTGTGCCAGGTGGTCCTGCTGGCCCGGAGGCTGTATTCGGGCGTGAAGACTGGAGGACTCCCCAGTGGGCGCGGAGCCTGCGGCGGGGCCGAGGGGGCGGCCAGTCCTGAGCCGCTGGTCCCGGGAGGGCGGGGCCCCGCGGAAGCTGCTGGGAGGGCGGGCCCTCCGTGTAACCCCGCCGCCCAGGGGCAGGGGCGTCCACGGGCTGCAGTGGGGGTGTGGGGGGAGGGGGAGAGGAGGCCCTAGCCCAGAGCCTAGGGGGGCGCAGGGGCCGGTGATCAGAGTGCGCCCACCTCCATCAGGGGCCCCGTGACCCCGCTGGACCGGCGCGGTGAGCATAGCCATGGGCTTGGCAGCTGGGGGGTCAGTGCAATGAGCTCCGGGCGGCGGGGAGCTGGGGGTCCTGGAGGTCCGCTTTGTCTGCGTGTGTGGATTGGGTAGACGGACAGCAAGCGTGACCTGCGAGAACCGAGCTGTAACTGTGGCCTCAGATGCTGCCCCCACGCCGCTGGGCGGGGGCCACAACAGGCCTGCCGACATGCTCTTCCCTGACGGCACGCACCCCGCGTGGATGGACTGGGAGGACGAGCACCTCACTTACTGGCCAAGGGGACCCCCCTGGAGAGGAGGGATGTGGTCCCAGCAAGGGGCCGCCGCCGACAACCGAGCCTCTCCTCTGCTCCCTCCCTGCAGCAGATGCGTCAGCTCTAGGCTCCACGGATGTGCTGTCCAGGCGACCAGGTGCCTCCTCCCCTGAGCTGGTCACCAGCAGTGGGTGGGGCTCACCTGCCCTCGGGGATGGCCGGCAGGGGAGGCTGTGGGATGGGGGGACAGAGGGCCGGTCAGCGCTGCCCAGGCTCCGGCCCACACGGCTCCCTCCCGCTCTCAGGGGAAGGCCTGGTGGGGGCCTGCTCAGGGCCCCGAAGGGACCGTCTCTGGGACTCCAGCCCTGCGGGACCCCAGGGTGTCCACCTTTCAAACACGTGCCCAGAGACGCCCCCGCCTGCAGCCGGGCCCGGCCTCTCTTCAGGCGGCCCGTGGGTCCTTCTCAGGACTTCACTGGCTAAAATTAGATCCCCCACCCCCAGCCTCATCTCCCAGGGTGGAGAGGCTTTCTAAAAAATACAGTGTTTTCTGTAAGTAATTGATATGTAGGTTAAAAATTCTGTTTAGTTATACTCAGAACAGAAATCACAATTCTCCATAGAAATACATTTTGGGGCATAAACAAAGCAAACCACCCCACGTGAGAGAGTGGCCGGAAGAGGGGATGCGTGTCTTGCCAAGGAGCCTGGGATCCCAGGGTGAGGAGGGAGTGTCCTGATTATTGGGGCCGTGATGACATCATTTCAGTGAGAAGTTGTGGACAGTACCGTGAATGCCGACTCATGACTCATAAAGGATCTCCACCTCTCCAGCCGAGAGGGGTTGAGTTATGTGATGCGTCCTCCTGGGGAGAATTCAGATGAGCAGCTGCCAGCTCCAGGCCTGGCAGAGGCTCTGGGGCGGGGCTGGCTGCTGCAGGACCGGGCTGACCCAGCTGCTTGGAGGCCGAGGGTGCAGCGTGGGCATCCCACCGGTCACTCACACCCTTTTCCAAGCACTGTTTTGGGCTCCAGGATCGCAGGTCACAAGTCCTGTTGTTATAGCCACGCTTTCCGGGAAACAAACTCACTCAGAAGGACAATGCAGAGAGTGGAGTGCAGTTTATTACACCCGCGGGTCCAAGGCAGAGTCTCCTCTTAGCCAAGGACTCCGACCAGCATTTGTGAAAATCTTTTATGCCTCATGTGTACGTGTCCAAGCCCACCACCCCAATCCCTTGATGCTTACAATGGAAGGGTAAATACAATCACAATAACCCCATCATTCACGTGTTATGTGTTCAAACAGTTAATAATCAATAAGCCCGCGGTTACATTCCAACCAGTTAATAACCGATAAGCCTGTGCTTACATTCTGATAGATACTGTCCGGAGGCCGGAGTGATTAGTGTCTGTTTCCTCTTAGGCGATGAGTAGCCTGGATGGGATCTTCAAGGTTCCCCTGTACGGAGGGGGTCTTATCCTTCCATTGTCGTTCCCACAGGCACTAAGCAGAGTTCAGAGTCCACTGGAGAGGTGGCCGAGCACGATCAGCACAGAAAGGCCTGAGATGGAGTCCAGGCCCTATGAACTCCTTCTTCACTGTGACCCCCGAAGCTTCGGAGAGCGCGGCCCTGGCCCAGCCTCCAGGGCTCGGTGGGCTGTGTGTCCAGCCCACTCCCCTGCAGGGGCCCCAGGGGTGGGCCTGGGACGCGGCAGCACCTCCTCTTCCAGGGAGACTCTGGCCTCAGCCCTCTCGGGTGTCGGGGACACGAGTGCACCACACTCGCTGAGGACAGGGCACTCAGCATCGCCTGGTGTGCGGTCGGCTGGGGTTTTATGCGTCTGTTTCATAAGAGAGCAAGACCCAGCTCTCTGGAGGCTGGAGAAGGATGAGAGATGGCCACCCCTTCCCGGCCCCTCTCCCCACTGGGGGCCGCCCAGACAGAGCACCCCGGCCGGTCACAGGCAGACCAGAGGCCCCAGGGCCCCGGAGGATAGGGAGGAGGCGGGCCAGGCCGCTTGACCCGGAGGTCAGCACCTTAGGTGGCTTGCCGGGGAAGGGGTGTGGGGGGAATGGGGCTCAGAGTTTTCTACTTTTAGTTTGCTTGTAGTGGCAGAAGCCACTCTTCAAAGCAAAGGGAACAGTCGGTAAAGCGGTGAGAATCCCCGAACCATGCCCTTGATGGGGGTGGGGCGCAGGCAGAAGGGACAGCAGACCCTTGCTTGGCCCCTTGCCCCGCTCTGTCGGCTGTCCCCGCAACACTGTTGTGGCCGCTGTGACAATTCCAAGGCCATAGCCCCATCAGCTTCCTGGACATCCCACCACGAAATGCTGCTGACCTCCAGGGCACAGCAGGGAGGGGCTCCTCCGGGGGCAGAGCCGGGGCTCCTCCGGGGGCTCATGGCGCCATGGTGTGTGCACGCGTGTGTGCTCGCCTGTGCACACGTGTTTCCAGATCGTGTTCTGTCACGGCATTGGGGTGTCTCATGCAGATTGTTCCAGGGGCTTCGCTCGGCCCGCACTGCGGGTGACCCCTGCGCTGGGCTCCGGCTCTGGATGCCTGGGTGATCGAGCCCCTCCCTGGGCCCACGGGGTGTCCACCAGGACCTCCCCCTGCCTGGCACCTCTGCCCCAAGCTCAGGGAGTGCTGTTCCAGCCCTGGTCACCATCCTCAGGACTCAGGGGCTCCCTCGGGGGCGCTCTGAAGGTCACTCATCACTTGGGGCTCCCTGCCCTGTGGATGGGTATCGTCACCCCTGATTCCTGGAGACCTCAACCCCAGGGAGCCTCTGCCACCCACCTTGAACATGGCCTGAGGTCCTGGCCAGGGTGGCCGAGAGCTGGGTCTGGGGGAGAAGGTGGGCTTCCAGACCGTGGTGTGGAGGGGACGCCCCGGATGTGCACACAGGGTCTGGGGCCTCCCATGCCGCCCAGCCTCTGCCCTCCGGCCTCCCCTGCAGTTCGGGGTGGCATTAGCATCTCAAAGCCTTCCCTCTGGCTTTTCAAAAGCACCTCTTTCCGCCTGGGAGGGCTAACTCTTTTGTTACCATTTCTGGCCAGAAACCAATTTCTCCTTTAATCGTGAACCTAATGAAACGCCCTCCTGACGGCGCCCGAGGCTGGCCCTCCGTGCAAGGCTACTGCACTTGAGCTCTCTTGGGGGAGGGGGTGGGGAGGGGGGCGGGGGAGCACGTCTGAACTGTCTGGGTCGGGATGCCCAGGGCCTGCGCTGGGGCTTCTGCAGGAGGGTGCTTCGGAGAGGAAGGGCGTGCTGCCCCGGGGTCTGGGCGGTCGTGGATGAGGGCAGAGCTGCCCGTGTTTGGGCCCAGGGCCCTTGGGGGGCGCGACGGGAGCAGAGCACTGACGGGCACGCAGGGTCCTGGGAGGCTGGTCCTGGCTTTGGGCAGAGACTTCCGGCTTCATGATCCAAGCCCGCTGGAACTTGACCTAGGTGACCCCAGGCTTCAGGAGTCGGCACCTCCTCCTGACCGCCTTTGGGTGACCTTGAGCTGCGGGAGGGTGAGGATGGGTGTTGAGGTGGCCGCGTCCCACCCTCTAGGTGCCCAGAGCTTTGCCCTTGTCACCGCGTCCCCATCACCCCAGGGGGGCCCAGGACCCACACTACGCAGCAGTGGGGCCCTGGCCCCCGGACGCCAGGCGACCCCCCAGTCTGGACATCAGAAGCAGCGAGGTGTCCTGGGGGTCAGTCCTGCTCTTTGGGATCCTCCTGCTAAGTCACTGTGGCCAGTGGCCACACGGCCTGCTGCCCACTCCTGGGTGAATGGTCTGGGCCCAGCGTGACCCAGGGGTGAGACTGCGGTGAGGACTCTGTAGGCTCCAAGCTGGGGGCCTCACAGACACACACAAATACGTGTACACCCATGTTCACAGTCACACACGTTCACAGGTCCACACACACACAACATATGCAGTCACACCAGGCGTGCTCCAGACACTGAACACACATACGCACGTGTGCATGAGGCACACCTCAAACACACAGACATGTACACCCTAACACATGTGCACAAACACACAGGCTCATGCATGCACATGTATGGACTAATACACGTGTGCGCACACACATGCAAACCCTCATGCACACACACGTGCACACCCACACACACACACCCCTGAGTCTCTCTCTGTTCCTCACAGGGGTTCCTGTCACAGCTCTGAGAAGGCTAAGGAGACGGAGCCAGGTGGACATCATGTCCTGGGTGGGTCTCTGACCTGGCCTTGCTGACCCCTCCCAGGGGCCTGACCCTTCACCTGTGCGTGGCCCCGGGGGACAAGGCGGCCAGGGACAGCTCAGGTGAGTGGCTGGGCTCAGCCACCTGGCATGCCCTGCTCTCCAGCCCATCTGCCTGCCACCCGGGACCCCCCTAAGACTCCACCAGCACGCCCTGGCACCCCTGGGAGCCACCGTATTTTGTGTTCCATATTTCAGCAGGAATACGGAAATTTCATCATTTCCACGAAGAAAGGAGGTTGACTTTCTGCAGCTTCTGGAGAAACTTCTAATTGAGTTTGTGGCCTGTGCTTCCCACAGATGCCCGCTCAGACACCCTCCCCTCTTTTTGGCAACTTTCCTGTTGTTTGTGGGAGGAGAGCTAGAGGCTCATTTATTCAGGTTTCACAGAGGAGCCCCTGACCCTACAGCTGGAGATCCACCCCAGCAGCTCCCAATTAGCTCCACCAATTAGGCCCAAGGGGCTGCCGAGGAAGAGCCCTGTGGAGGTGAACTTGGAAGGAGAGATGAAGGTCCAGCCCCCGAGGGCAGCCCTGGAGCTGATGAAATAAATGGAGTGTGCGCCCCAAAGATGAGAGATGGGAGCGTATTCTAGGAGCTCCTGTGAAGTGGGTCGTTCAGCAAACATAAGGAGAGAAGGTAACACGGGAACAATAAAGCAAGAACAGGAATCTATGAGTGGAGGAGGTATGCAGATTGTAAACAAATGAAAAGGAAGCAGATGTAATGTGTGGAAATGAAAAAGAGCCTTTTAATGTGAGAAATAAACAGGTTAAATGGCTGATAGACACAGCTGATGAGAAGATCAGTGAATTTAACGGTCGACCCGAGAAAGTCACTTTCCTCACAAAGAGAAGACTCGTGGGGAAGGGCAGTGGGATGAGAAAGTCCAGCCCACTTGCTGAGATCCCAGAGGAGGGAAAAGAGGGGGACAGTGGGCGTTGTCTGGACAGATGCTGGACAAAGTTCCACCAGAGTGAAGCAAGCATCCTCTGCTCCTTGAGTGAGTGAAAGCAAATATGCACCTTGGTCATGTGGACATGAAATGGTAGAACACTAGAGACAAGTGTGCACACACATCCACACACACCAACACATATACACACATGTGCACACATCCACACCCACATATATCCACCCGCACACACAGACCCACACACATAGCCATCCATCCACATCCGTCCATACACACACCCACATACATACACAGACAGACACATGCATGCATCCACACCACATCTATCCACCCACACATACAGACACACACACACCCCCATCCATCCATATCTATCCATACATACACCCACATACATACATACAAAAAACATGCACGCACATCCACACAGCTGGGGATCCACCACACATACAGACACATACAGACACACCCACCTATACATGCCATGAAATAAAAAGATACCTGTTCCCTGGAAGAAAAGCTATGACAAACGTAGACAATGTTAGAAAGCAGAGACATTACTTTGCTTACAAATGTCCATATAGTCAAATGATGGTTTTTCCAGTGGTCATGTATGGATGTGAGAGTTGGACCTTTAAGAAGGCTGTGCACCGAAGAATTGATGCTTTGAACTTGTGGTGCTGGAGAAGACTCTTGAGAGTCCCTTGGACTGCAAAGAGACAAAACCAGTCAATCCTAACGGAAGTCAACCCTGAATATTCATTGGAAGGACTGATGCTGAAGCTGAAGCTCCAAAAATTTGGTCACCTGATCCAAAGAGCCAACTCACTGGAAAAGACCCTGATTCTGGGAAAGATTGAGGGCAGGAGAAGGGGGTGATAGAGGATGAGCTGGTTGGATGGCATCCCCGACTCAATGAACATGAGTTTGAGCAAACTCTGAGAGGCAGTGAAGGACAGGGAGGCCTGGTGTGCTGCAGTCCATGGGGCTGGCTGCAAAGAGTGCAACAAGATTGAGTGGCTGAACAACAATCCATCCACATCTATCCATACAAACATCCACACATATAGATACATACATACACAAGGCAAATTCACAAATGTACACACACACACATAAATACATAAAAATATACTTCACCAGAGAGTAAAAATGTTACTGGCCAAAGAAGGAGAGATAATTAGAAAGACTTCTCATCAGCAGTAGGGCTGCTGAGGGCAGTGAGCTGCCTTCTATGTGCTGATAGAAGGTAACCGTCAGTCCAGATTCTATACCCAGCTAAAATACTCAAGCCTGACAGTCTGAGGCCAAGATCAGGAATTTGCTTTCGCTGGAGGAACTCAAGAGGGTGTATTTCAGGATGAAATGCCAGAAAAGATTGTGAGCCATCTGGCAAACCTGACATTAAGTCTGAATGACAGTGAGTATAAGGAGGTGGCTGATTCAGGCGTTTATCCCAATTCTGGATGTCCAACCTGGCAGTGTGGCTCATAACGCCCTGAATATAACCTGACCACAAACAACTATAAATGCCGGATGCAATCTGTGTAAAAGTTCTTTTCGTCACGTCACTGAACTATCAGGGAAGCAAGGCGGCCTCCTCTGGAGGCGGGCATGGCGACCCACTCCAGCACTCTTGCCTGGAGAATCCCATGGACAGAGGAGCCTGGTGGGCTGCAGTCCCTGGTGTCGCAAAGAGTCAGACACGACTGAGTGGCCAAGCACAGCCCAGCAAGGAGACTTGAGGCCAGAGTGTGGAGCAAGTGGAGCCCGTGAGTGACGGGATTTAACCGAGGGTGCAGAGGGCCCTGGCGGCCGGAGTTCAGTCCCGTCAGTGTGGAGGGTCTGGGGAGGAACTGATGATGTAATGTGTGAAGTAATACGTGATATATGTGGGATGTAGTATCTGTGTGATGTGATATGCGTGTGATTTCTATTAATAACAGAAATGGCCTTGCCCTTCAGTGGGAAAGGAGGTGTTCAGTAATTGATGCTGGAGAAATTGGTTAAAATCTTGAAAAAGAAAGAAGAGGGGCTCTTACCTCACTGCACACGTAAAAATCAGTTCCGAAGGGATTAAGCACTTAATGGTAATTTAAATGTTTGTAACACTTTTATGAGACAATATAGGAGAACATACTATGACCGTTGACTAAGAAATAGTTTCTTAAAACCCCAGAAGTGACAGACAAAGCAAAAGGCTGACAAATTCTGCTCCATTAAAATTCATCAACAACGGCGTAAATAAACGGACGCAGGAGCCACCCACGTGAGGAGGTGTTTTCAATGCATTCATCTGACAAAGGACTAGTGTCCAGGCTGCGTAACCGACTCTCCCAAATCGGTAAGAAGCAGACAAACAGCCAGATGAAAATGAGCAAAGGGTCTGAGCCTGGAGGAGAAACAGGACCACCCAGTGGGGAAGCTCCCAGTGTTCGGCCGAAAGCAAATTAAAACCGAAATTAAAAACGCTTCCCACACCTGTCCACACTCTGATACCATGGAGCACTGGTGAGGTGGCAGGAGGCTGGGCTGGGGATGTAAACTCTGCGGGGATTTTGGAGAGAGACTCAGTGAGAAGGAGCAGGGTTGAGATGCGGATCCAGACTCCCCACCGCGGCCCACGTGGACAGGTGTGCACGTGAAGTGGACGGCTGAGGGCACCACACCTTGACCCCTGGGCACCTGTGGGAAGTCTGAGACGGGGGTGGGTGTTGGACTCTTCCTCACGGCCATGTTTGTAATTTTGCAAACTACCTGGTGTGGTGGAGTGAACAAGCCAGGTGTGACAGATTCAGACAGTGGGGGACACACAGCCGTGAGAGTGGGTGAACCGCTGGGAGCGTGGCTCTCTGGGACTTCACAGGAGAGAAGACGGCTTTGGAGACAGCATCGCAGAATGCCAGCATGGGTCCAGAGCATCCCTCGGACTTCCTTGCAGGTGTGGGGAAAGGACTTGAAATTCCAGAGAGCAGGAAACAGGGTGACATTTCACCCAGGGGTGGGTTTGAAGAAGGTCACTCACGGGGCTTCAGAAATTCTGTTTTTTTTAGCCTGGGTGGTAGATAATCCAGGGTTCATTGATGGTTAATACTTGTATCTTATATATAGTCTGAAGAGTCTTCTTATCTACTGAGTAATAAAGGAAGGACACCCACCCAAGTCCCACGTCCCTTGATTCAGTTAGCCTCTGCTGCATAACAAATGGGCCCCAAAGCTTCCCAGCTTCAAGCAGCCCATGCTGCACGGTGCCTGCAGACCTAGTGGGCACGACCGACAGGCACTGGCCTTTGCAACCTTGGGGATGGGGCATCCGCTGGGGCCTGTGTGGTCTGAACTCAGCTTCAGCTCTATGGCCTGGGGGCCCTTCCCTCCTCACCGAGTCCTCCACCCACCGCGCGCTCTGCATGGTGGGGACTCTGCTCGGCTCCACGGGGTCCTGTCAGTGCAGCTCCATCCCTCTGAGAGTCTGTCTCTATCTCTCTGCCTCTGTCTCACCCTCAGACCCCAGGTACTGAGAGATGACTGTCCCTGTCCCCGAGGGGTGATCAGTGCCCACTTGGAAAACCCTCTCGGACAGTTTAAAGCACAGGAGAAATCTTTCCGTGGGTTCCTAAGGGCCAGCTGCTGTCCTGTTTGAGGGAAGAAATAGTGATTGCTAATATCTGCAATAATGAACCCCAACAAATGACACAAATTACTTCTCAGACAGCAACTTGACAAATGACATCTCTAGAGGAGTCCGCAGAAACGTCATTTGCCAAACTCGTATTAAACATTCTCCCGAGACAGATTTAAAATAACTTTGGGGGTGAAAGTCTGAATCGTACAGACATAAAAGTGACAGCACGTGCTAGCTGGAATTATATATTTGTGAACTAATTCTCGCATAAAATTAGAGTTTGAGGACTTGACGGCTAGACTGGCCATTTTCAGTGTTAGCAATTATCTTGCAACCAGTTAGAATCTATACCAAATGTCATTTAAATCTTTCCCACAATGCGCTGCGTAAGGAAAAGCAGCCCCTACGGAAGCATCTGTGGAGGTTTCTCTTTTTCAGGCGTGGGGTTGCCTGTAACACTGTGAGTTGGCAGACAGCCCTGGGTGGGCGGTGCGGGGGGGCATGCATTTAATTCACGAGGAACACGGGGCAGCCCGGCCCTCTGGGCACACTTGTGGCTGGACCGTGCGTACGAGGTCACACACGGCTCTGATTTCACGGCCCAGAGATGGGAGACCGTTCTGCTCAGACCTGCGGGGGGCAGGAGGAGAGGAGAGAGATTTGGGGTCTCCAGGTGTGACTCTCAGGGTTCATGCAGGGCTGGGCAGGACACTGACAGTGCTTTGCCCCATCCTCTGTGTTTGCTCCATCGCAACCACCCCTGTTGGCGTGCAGCTGGGCAGCTGGGGACCGGCAGAGGGCACTTACTGGTACCACAGGGCAGGTCTGGGTGGGCTCCAGCAGACTCACTCGTCTCCCCACCCACATCCCCAGGTCCACGGCCATCACGTCCTCACCTTGATGGCTGCGAGCGGTGCCCAACCGCGTCTCACCTGCCTCGCTAATCTACGCCAAGGTCCTGGACAGGAGCCGGGGTCCAGGCGCCCCAGTCCCCACCCACGGCTGACCCGCTCCGGATGCATGCCCTGCAGCCCTCGGTGCTCTTCGCAGAAGGACCCCGGGAAGGTGAGCTGATGTGAGGTCTGCACTGGGGCTGGGGGCAGCTAACCAGAGGGGTCTCTGTGGCTGCCTCGCTGGGGGCGGGGGCGGGGGGCTGTGAGTGCTCCTCAGTGCTCTTAGCCCTGGAAGGGCTGGGGTGGGCTCTGCCCCTCCTGGCCCCTCTGGGGGTCTCAGTAAGAGTTGGTGCCCTCACGCCTCACTTGCATAGACTACTTTGTACAGTTTTGCTTCAAAAGCTATAATCCCATGAGTACTTAGCGATCCAGACCGTGGTTCCATCTGAAAGCATCCATGTTTTTCACAACCTTCGACCAGACCTGCTGATTACTCCAGACCCTCACCAGGCAGCCCAGAGACCTGCAGTGATGCTTCCTCTGCGGGTCATCACCCTCCTCACCAGTCTCATTGGGAACTCTCCCAGCGGCTGGCTGAGATCTGGGCTGTGGGACACAGATTTTATCTCCTGGCTAAGCCTTCTCACCCCGTGACATTTTCACTCTGTTTTACAGACTTCCAACCAGCTTCATCTCTACCTAATCTCCCTGAAATGGCTTCTGGTTCATCACTGAAAAGCCTCCAGGGAGAAGGGCTGTGTGCTCACTGTCGCGCACGGACCCCGCTCCCCCGTGCCTTGTGGGCACCCAAGGGATGGAGGGTCACAGGTCAGCCGTCCGCATCAGAAGAGAGCTCCGCCCTGCGCTCACGTCTGTGGGGCTGTCCTCACGGGGGCGGTCACTCTCAGGTTTCTGCTTGGCCGTGCGTGGCAGTGTGGTGGGTAGGTGCCCGGCTTGGGCCCAGGCTGGCTGGGTCCAGATCTCAGCCGCGCCAGTTCCTGCTGCGTCACTTTGGGGAGTTTGCTCGACCTCTCTGTCTTCCCGTGTCTAAGGCGGGGCTGAAGACTCTAGCTGCCTCAGGCTCGGTGTGAAGATGAGCAAGTTAGACACAAGCGAGTGCATGTAAAACCGAGGGACTGTGAACAGGGTCAAAGGTGTGTGCCAGCACTGCCGTCGGATGTGAGGTTGCAGTGAAGCACCTTTGCTGCCTGGCACCACGGGAGGAGCTGGGTGAAGGGCCAGGGAGCTCTTTATGACCCCTTACCACTGCATTTGTCGTTGTTCAGTTGCTAAGTCATGTCTGACTCTTCACGACCCCATGAACTGCAGCAAGCCAGGCTCCTCTGTCCTTCACGACCTCCCAGGGTTAGCTCAAACCCATGTCTATTCAATCAGTGATGCCATCCAATATCTCATTCTAACCTATAAGTATCTCAAAATAAAAAGTTAAATAAGAAAACCCAACCTTGATGGCTTGACAGGTGAGGTCCACCAAATTTTCAAGCAATAGCTGGTGCCAACCTCAGGAAAGTTGTCAGAAAACATAGAAAGAGCCACATCCGCCCTGCTCATTTTATATGGGTCGTGGGATCTGGAGTAAATTACAAACAGATTAAGCTAGCAGAAGAGTAGAGATTTCTAAGCCCATTTCATCGATGACCATAAATACAAAAATCCTAAATAAAATAGGAACTCACCAAAACTGACAGATAATAAAGCATAATCCCTCATTAAGGAGCTGAGATAACCAGGGATGCAAGGATGGTTCCCATCAGATAAGGCAGCTCACAACGGGCCACGGGCAGGCGGTCACACCCTTGCCTACGTGTGTCGCTACCAGCTGTAATGGGGTTCCGCACGGATTCAGCATACTTTGCTCACAGATGTTGTAGATTTAATAGCTTTCCCCAGGAGAATGTTGGCAGAGTGAAACAGGGGGCACATGTCGCGTTTCTTTCGGGGGGAGGGGCCGGTCTTGTGGATTTCCTTGGAAGCTCGGAGGGCCTAATCCGCCCCCCGCCCCCGCGCTGCTCAGAGGGGGAACCTGGCGCATTTATTCTCTGTTCTGGGGGTCTCGTCAGTGGACACGGGAAAAGGCGGCTTGGCGTTTACAGTCTTGTGATTTTCTGCGGACCACCTGTTCCGATTCCGTGGAGGGAGCTGCGTTCACACAGGTGGACTCAGACCACAGCCTGGGGCCCGCTGGCGGCCCGAGGTCCCGTGGAGGCGAAGGGGCTGATCCAGGCCGGGGAGGGGCGCGGGCCTAGGACGGCCTTCAGGTTCGTCCACGCGGACGCCTGGCCCGGCTCGCCCGGCGGAGTCTGCGCGTCGGTGAGGATGCTGTGCATTTGGATCGTGAACATCAGGCCAGGGAAGAGGAAGCCGCTCAGCGCCACCACGAAGAGGAAGAAGGGCGAGGCGCGCAGGCGCACGGGGGTCTGCAGGTCCCACTCGCCGCGCGCGTAGGCGCAGAGCGCGGGCACGGCGAGCAGCAGCAGCACGTGCAGCGCGGCCAGCGCCGTGTAGAGCGTGAAGAGCACGAAGAACTTGCGGTTGTCCTCGCCCACGCAGTTGTTGACCCACGGGCAGTGGTGGTGCGCCTTGCGGATGCAGCGCCCGCACACGCTGCAGTGGTGCGCGCCCGGCGGCCGGGCGGCGCCGCAGAGCGGGCAGCGGGCCGCCAGGCCGGGCGCAGGCGCGGCGCCCGTGGGCAGCACGCCCACCGGCAGGGCGCCGGGGTCGGTGAGCATGGTCCGCGCGTGGGAGGCCAGGGCCAGGAAGGCCAGCAGGTGGAAGAGCGAGCCGTGCACCGCGCTGTAGGCCGGCCGCCGCGCCGGGAGCAGCCAGGCGCTCAGCAGCAGCGCGCCCTCGCTCAGCGTCAGTGCCCATGTGGCTGAGGCGCACACGATGCCCAGGGCGTCGGGCACGAACCACACACAAGTTGCGCTCGGCGCAGCGCCCGGGCTCCGCGGGGCCAGGCCGGCTGGACCCCGAGTGCCTGCGCCTCCGCCCTCCCTTCCCGGGCTCTGCCTGGCTCCGCCCGGGACTCCCCTCCTCCCTGCCGCAGTGTTCTAGAATGTGCCCTCCAATGGGGGCTTTGTGAACACAGAAAGGTGCCCCCCCTTCACTGGGAAAAGCCCCTTCCTGGCGGTGACTCTTCTGTTTGGGGCGAACGGGGCGTTGGCCCTTCGAGGAGGCAGAGGTGGGGGCTGGGGGCGTGAGCCGGCTGTTGCACGTGGCCCTTTTAAGGTCCTCGCAAGAAATGTGGGTGAGGAGGAAACGCCGTGGCGCTTCTTGTGTGTGCGTGTTGGGCGCACACGTGTGTTTCCGCCGCGGCGCTCCTCTGCACACTAGCTCATTGATGCTCACAACTCTGACAGCACGAAGGTTTACTCCCCAGTTTGCAGATGAGAAGCTGAGCCGGGGATTGGGTGAATGGCCTGTGAGTGGCAGGCCAGGATCCCAGCCGGCTGCCCCTGCCCCCAGAGGAGCTGCACACAGCTGATCAGGTCTGCGCTCCGCCCTGTCTGCCTCCCGCGGTCAGGACGCCGCACTGGGTGTTCAGCCACCGGGGAATAAGAGGTTAGGATGGGTTTGGATGGAACCAAGGGCCGGCATTCGGGAAGGCCTGCTCTGGACTCTTGGTCTAAGAAGTGGGTCCTGAGAAAAGACAGCTGCACGGAGGCCAGGGTGGCCGCCCCCCAAATGCCCACAGCAAACAGAGTGAGGAAGGCGCTGGGTCTGAGCTGAAAGGAGGCTGCCTGTGAAGGGCGTGCCCGCCTGGCCGCGTTAATGAGAGTATAGCACCCGGGAGGGTGGAGGGGAAACTGCTGGGGGAGCGTCGCCATGAGCAGCACTCCTGGTGTGAGGGGCTTACGGGGAAGAGCCGCTCAGGAGTGGCCGCGCCGGGTTTGGAGGCGACGAGAAGCGGGGGGCGGTGGTGGTGGGGGGGACTGGAGCCCAGGACGGGGTGCAGAGCGGGGGTCAGCGCCCACAGAGGAGGATGTTGCTGGTGATCCGGGGGCATCCCAGGGTGAGTGGACGCTCTGTCTCAAGAGGAATTCTAGCGCTTCCTGGGTGCCCTGTGGACCTCTTGGTGTCAGACAATGAGTCGGGCAGGACGACGGTGGTGGTCTCCTTCAACTGCGGGGGCTCTGAGGTCGTTGTCCTGGTCTTCTGATCAGGTCACCGTGCTGACGAGAGGCCCCGGAGCCCACTTGCCACACCTGACGCCCAGGTGTCAGAGAGCTGCCGGGTGGTAGGGGGTGTGCCTCGCCGGCACGGCTCAGCCTCCTTGCTGGGAGGGCCTGATGTGCCTCTTTGTTTATTCTGTCTTAAAATAATTACCAGACTTCACAAGAGTGGTTTTCAGTTCACAGCAGAACTGAGCAGAAGGTATAGAGACGCCTCGTCTCCCCGCCCCTCCCCGCCGCACTCAGAGCCTCCCCACCAGAGGGGACGTTTGTCACGACGGATGCACCCACACCTCCTTGCCGTCCGTCGTCTCCCAGAATCCACGGTTTAGGTCGTGGTTCCCGCGTGGTGTTGGACATTCCGTGGGTTTGGGTGCGTGTGCAGTGACGGGGACCCACCCTCAGGCAGAGAAGTCTTCGTGCTTGAGAAACCCCTGCGCGGGGCCCTTGCCCCAAGCCTGGCGGTCCTGGTCTTTCACGGCCTCCGCAGTTTTGCTTCTCCAGGAGGTGCTCCCGTGGGAAGCATGCAGCATGCAGACGTTTCAGATGAGCGTCTTTTACCGGCTGGCACGCTGTTACGTTTCCTCTGTGTCTTTTGATAGCTTGATGTCTGTTGTGTTTTTTAACTGAAAACCAGATGCTGAAAACAGAACGAGGTGTGAGCAATCATGGCAGGTGATTTGGGGAAGAGGGAATAAAGGACTCCAGGAGAAGCCGGGAAAGGTCAGGCGCCTGCCTGGAAGGGTCAGCTCTGGGTGGAGAGGAGCCGGGAGGGCCAGGGAGGGGGATAGGAAGGGGGGGCGGCTCAGCGAGGCCGGGGGAGCAGAGCTCTTGGGAGCAGAGCCCCTTCAGAGCCGCAGGACGGCCTGACGTGTAACCGAACAGTACCCCATGGGGTCTTCTTTCTAGATAGACCCCCCACTCATGTGTTCCACCTACCTTCTGTCCGCAGAAAAATTTTAGTTCCAGAATAAATTCAGTCACAGAAGTGAG